TCGAATTCGAGATTCGAGACACTTTTCGTATCTCGCCAGCTCGTAAATACGGATACACGAGCTGGTTTCGAAAGCGTGCCGATAGCTGAGCTACCTTTCGCCCGGTGGAACCCCGCCGAGGACTTAATTTTTATTCATGCACCAACGATGCGGCAATTTTTCGCCGTCTTAAGAGGGCTTTAAAATTGTCCGGTCAATTTCGCCCAGAGAACGTGCTCCTTTTTTCAAACGCGAACATCCTCGGAAGGGGTGAACTCTATCCCCGCGGTTCTTTCCCATTTGTATCGGTATTAACGAACTCGTCCCGCTGTAACGTCATTCTCTAAACGAGAACGTCGTTATTGCTCTATCGAATTTTAACGTTCATCCCCTCAGTTCTTGGAAACGACAATGGTTAATGCCCACCGTCCTAACATCGATTACGTCTCGTTGGAAGAAAACCAAAAAATAAAAGAAAAGAAATAACTGGGGGGGGGGGGAGAGAGTGGGAGGGATGGGTGGAGGAGAGAGAGAGAATTGTAAACTCACACGCGACCAAACCGGATTCGCCAGTGTTCCTAAAAGCTAACGCGACCGCTCGTAGCGTTCAGGAAAACCGATTAATTCCGCGCGCGTGGGGTGACCGATCATTAGATTTCGTCCCATGAAAATTGAGTTTTCCTCGTTGTCGAAGGGATAATCTTTGGTAGCCTCTAGCCCATTGCATACGAACTCTGTCGTCTATCCGCCAACACGCTCGCAAATGCGTACGGCTATTTATTAGGCTACTACACCTAATGTGTGTTTGTGTGTGTGTGTGTGTGTGTGTGTGTGTGTGTACGTATACGCGAATACAGCTCGGTAATGTCGGGTGATGGTAGAGGAGGTGATGCTGGTGGTGGTGGTGGTGGTGGTGGTGATGGTGGTGGTGGTGGAGGTGTGCGCGTGCGACGGTGGCGGCGCGTAACTTCGGTTCCATTATTGAGCGATCGGGCGATCGAAAAATTCCCGCGCTTTTTCGCGCGCTGCATCCCGAGTGGGGCGAACTGACCTCCTATTGGCTACGCGCCCAGTCACCCTCGTAAGCGCGCCACGGGAGGGGAGGATGGACTGTACACCCTCAGCAGGTATTTGTCTAGGCTGCAGCTATTGACCAGCTATCGATATCGTGGACACTCACCGATATTATATTCGCTATCCTTCGTTTCTGCCACTCTCTCCACTTTCTCACCCCCTCCACACTCTCCTGCGACCCTCCCAACCCCGCTGTTTCTCGTTTTGCCTGCCCGTAACAGCGCACGAACTCTGTCGAATTTCGGTTAATGAATTATATGCATATACGTTGCAAATTTTATAGGCGTGCGAATATATATTCGGCCGTCGAGGGAAATTGTTGTAATGCGCGCGCTATGTCGGTGCGCGCGGGGGTCGCGAGGGGTGAACGCTGGGGGTGGCGCGTGAACGCGACGGTGCGGCAGTAAATTCCCGCCGTTTTTTGAGTTTGACCGGCCAATCGCGGCGAAGCAGCGAGATCTCGCACCGAAACGAGAAATCAATATGGTATGCAAATGCTGTGCGGAAGCGGTATCGTTTGGGAAAACAACGGTCGTTTGGGGAATTCGGAAGGAATTTCAGCTGCGAGCTCGCCGATTTTTGGATCGCGAGAAATTGGTATGCCGACGTGGCGAGAGACCGATCGAAAATGAGGAATTTTCTTCGTCGGGGCTTGAAAATTTCATCGGATGCCTGGCTCTCCCCGATCTAGAACGGAATCGAGTCGATACGGGCCAGGCGTATAGACGCCTGGGTGATTACGCGGTAGTGCGATTGCTCGCTGATTTTTCAGCCTCGATGTCTCGAGCAGCCCCTTACACGCTTATTTAAAACGTTTCATCGATAAAGACACGGAAACGGAAAGCCGTGCATGCGATAGATGCGCGTACACGGACGTTAGCTGAAGTACCAGCCGCAGCAGCGTAGAGTGTGGGAGCCTCTGTACGTGGGGAGGGTGATTATTAATGTAAGGGGTTGCCGAGCAGTAGTTACTTGCTCGTTGTTGGTAGTTGTCGAAAAGGACGATGGGGTGAAACGAGTGCGCCGAAATCAATGTCGGCCCTTTTTTCCTCGTTAGGCTTGATTAAGGAACGCTTTCGAATTTTTGTCCACGGATCGGGTCTCGCCTAGGCTAGAGGTTAGGCTAGAGGTTAGGCTAGACTAGGCTCGCGGAAACTCGATCGCCGGTCGGGAAATTGGTTTTCACAGCAATGATTTCAAAGGAATGTTTTGTTAAGAATCGATCTGTTATCCTGCCGCGAGTACCGAGCCAGAGCTCTTGGACCTTTCGATTAAATAGCTCGCATACCGACGAGGTTTTGTTTTTTTTTCATTCGCAGGCAGATCTTGAACGAGATGAACGAGACTTTTCCAAGGGTCCAGTCATACGCGGCACTGACCGTTCGCTTCTCGAGGCTAATACCTTCCGATTGACTACGCTCATCCCTTAATGAAATTCTTTCTACCCTGGCGCGACCCATTGGCTGGCTTTGCCGTCGAATTTTCTCATTATTACCGGTTCCCTCGTCCGTTCTACGTCTTTCCGTCACTGCTATTCTTAGTCGAGCACAGTCGTTCGATAAATTCGATCGTTCGCCCCGCGTAAATTGAACTTATCTGCAATACGCAACTTGTATGCATACCGAACGACAACGTGTTCAGTCAACGGTGTCTTGGAAACCACGTTCTGGTGCAGCACGAGGCGCATTGAGCAATCTCGCAGCATGCATTAAAATTAGCCACAATCGGAACGCACGATCGCTTGTACAGATTATAATAGTATATTAATTTATTGATTATCGACTGGCCGCGATGCAATGCGGTATTCATAGAATTTACTATCAGTCCCGGGGATACCGAATGCATGCATTAAGCTGGGCGACTCGTAGATTTTGCGCCGTGATCACCGGAGATGCACGAAATTATTTCGTTCCCGTTAGAAAACACCGATCGATCGAGAATCTTTCTATCGAAAAAATGATCAAGAATTTTTTCAGCTCGACCAGAGCGCGTTTGACGTTTCTCTCGTTTCATTCGGCAAAAACGAAAGAAAGAAGAAAGAAAGATATTCGGCTTATCGTTCGCGATCGTGGCTAATTTAATCGTAGAAAAATCCTGCTGTGTCTAAAAGTACTGCTTGAACCTGCGGTCGCAATAGCTGCATTTGTACGGTTTCTCGCCGGTGTGGACCCTGATGTGCTGTACGAGCTGGTGGTTGCTAGAGAATGACTTGAGGCATTGCTGGCACTGGTGTGGCTTTACCTCGTTGCCGGCGATCATGCCGCCCGGTCCGACGCCGATCGGACCCAGGCCTGCCAGTCCGCCCGCCACGCCGCCGCCAGCTCTCCCCGTCAGTGCACCCGCCGCGCCGAGCTCCCTCGCGTGCATCTGCATCGCGCTTTTGTGCATGAAGATCTGCGAGAAGAACTGCCACAGTTAGTTGGTACGCTGCACTTTTGGTCGAAAGATGGAGGATGGCTATTCGACGGAAGTTCTGACCGCTACTCTCCCGCCGATCGCCATCGTCTGCTGGACTCTGAGAGGTTCGGCCGATACGTTTATCCTGTCTTTATCATTTTTCTTTCTTTCTTTTCTTTTTTAATGTCATTCAGATGAATCGGACAGTTGACGCGACAACGACGTGATCGGTGGTAAGAAGATTTGCAATAAAGTTTAGAGTAAAATTTACAGGTAAACGTTCAGCTTCGCCTGTTTCATTGTACGTAGACGGTTCGAGCGATCTTCGTGATATTCCTGTGTAATTACAGAATAACGAGAGTCGGGAAATGCAAAAGTTGCAGACTATACGGCATTAACGTTTACGTTTTCGATTATTCATCGACGGACTCGCGTTCGCTTGTCGATGATCAGACTCGTCGAGCGGTGCTAATTGCGTAAGGTTTTACTCTCGATTCCGTGTTTAAAGTTTCACAAGCGACTCGTTGACCAAAAGTTGCTGCGATTTAACTGGCATTTCTGACAACGGGCTCGATATCGTGGTCGCGACGATATGTCACGGAACCGATTCGATCAGCCGCGCTTTCGAGCTTTATGATATACTTTGTTCAGACGGTGCATTTCGTGGGAATCAGATCGGACCGTAGTTCTGACCATGTCCATTGAATTTCTTTCTCACAAAACACGAGATCGATACACGTTATTCCACACGAGAAATTCCAGTTGTGTCGTTAATTTACCGACTCATTAATCGAGAGAGTGAGAGAGAAAGAGAGAGCGAGAGGGAGAGAAGGAGAGAGAAAGAGAGGAAGGGGATGAACGGTGTATTTGAAGGTTTATTAAAATCGAATCACGATAGAACACCTAAAATCGTCTCGTTGCGATTCGATATAGAGCGTTCTCCGCGAATTTAATAGGAAGCGCGTAACAGCTGGCCACGGAAGGGGTCAACGTCCGTCGTCGTGGTTTTTGAAAGCAACCATCCGATCGATGTTTTTCGATTTACACTCGTGTACGTGTATCTCGAAGTGTGTAAGGTACGGAACGTAAGTTGCGCACTCGGCCGAGCACTTTAGCGTTCCTCGATGCGACGAGGAGGAACGTAAAACTGTTGGAAGGGCCGAATACGAGCGGGTGGAACGGCGAGGAACGCTTGATTTCGGGTTTTCGTTGAGGGAACAGGTGTTGCTCTCATCGTCAGTGTGGGTGTAGGTGAACGAACGAAAGGGTTAACGTTAAAACGAGCGTACAGTTCGTGGCAAAAGTCGGGAGATTTCGGCTTCGGGAGAATCCGAGGAGAAGTTGCTCGAATTAAAGAACGGAACGACTACTGTTCCCGCGAACGATGGGGTAGGAAGCGCGAGTTAGGGACGGGCTTCGCAGGATTTTATTAAAATATGTTAAAACTGTAATTAAAATCGAAAAATCTCGCTAGAAGTTTTAAGAATCTTAGGCTACCCTTCGCGCGAGCGTGACAAAGAGAGTTCGCAACGGTTCGACGAATAATGACAGGGTTGAGACGACGGAAAGAGATGGAGAAAAAGGCGGAGAGAGAATTGAAATTGTCACCGAGGGTTCTCAAGTTTCTGCGACTTTCAACCCTTTCTTTCAGGGACCACGCCACGTTGGATATTTGACGAGCGACCTTCGACACTGGGCATCCCTGATTCTTAATCCCCGTGAGAGAGGGAGAAGCTGCAACTCGATTTTATTCCTCTTTCTTTTTTCTCTTCCGGATACTTCTTTTATCCGGGAACAAATCAATCCGAGTCCTGTTTCACCACGATTTGAAATTTAAAATTGCTCGTGTTTTCACACATATCCGGAGGTATCGGTGTCGATCCTTAGATTTCTCGACTTTTTGCCAGTCGCTTTCTCGCGTAGTATATTTTGCTCTCGTACATTATAAATCCGATGCGGTCTCTTTTTATTTTAAACGCACCCTTCCGTGAAGAAGACGGAAGGGTGTAACCTACGACTCGAGGACATTTTCGCGCCGATTAATCGTAGCCAAGGGCTGTCAAGAGGGCGAAAAACGAATCGGTGGTGGCAAAGTCGAGTTACGAATTTTTAATGACCGTCTCAAGTGGACCGCCGAGATTTTTGAGAAACCGTCGCTGAATCTCCCTCTCCCCTTCCTCTCTCTTTCGCGATTTTTAAGCAAATGCTAATTAAGCAGCGTCGCGACTCCCGAAGCTTTCCTCGGTTTTTCTTAAACTCGAAGACCATACGTTCATTAATCACATTTTTATCTGCTCGCAGACGGAAAATTGCGTTTCGTTGCCCGGCCATACCGGTGGTTTGAATCTTTTTTTCTGATTTATCGTCGTCGCCGTGGCAGGGAAAAAAAGGAGAAGACGAGAAAGAAACGAGAAGGTCTGTAGGGCGAAAGGGAAAGAAAGAAGAAAGCGGAAAGAGTTGCTTGCCTACGGGCCGCCAGCTTAATGTCCTTAATAATGGAAAAATATATCAAGCGACACCCGCTGTATTTCCTAAAGGGCATCCCTCGTTTCTGTTCCACCCTTGCTTCTCGTTCCTCGTTCCTCGTCTCAACTGCTGCAATGTTGCAACGTTACGGACGTTCGATAGACGCGTTGTTATTAGCGGGCTATAGAGAAGCTACGGAATAATTTGGAAATTAAATCGTTCGATTGCCGACGTTTGCCTACTGATTTGACTAGTACGGCAGAAGTTTGTCCGTTTTTCGAAAGGGATCTCGAGGATCTGGGCGACGCAACCCTTTGTCTTTCCCTTGGCGCAGTAAATTACGACAGCGTAACATTGGTCACTGGAAGTAGGCTACTTTATACACTTGGAACACAAAGCAAAGGTCTCACCTGCTGACCATATGCCTTTTCTCCATGGCACACATACGTATGTAACGTGTTCCGTCCACCCACGCACGCCGGCCATCTAGCACTTCGCATGTGCTATTAACTCGAAGGTATGTGTGCCTCTCTGTATGCGCGATACAGGCGCTCGCGCCTTTCCGTCTCCCTGTATGCACGCACTCACACGTTTATGCGTGTACGTGTATGTCTACGCGGAGACAACGTCCAATCTAACCTACCTAGCGTTGCCTGACTCATTCTCCTACCTACCCACCTATCTGTCTAAACTGTGGCCGCGAATAGTGCCGTAATATAAAGGAAAAGGTGGACCTTCTCCGCCTCTTT